ATGAAGCCCCCCATACGCCTTAAACCCCACTGTGAAATTACAATGGCACAAAAGAGGTGCCAGCAGGGATGCAAACTCATAACTGGAAGTGTCACCCTAAAAAAGTACTCATCAGGAAGGAGAGTACAGTAATAAGGGTTACTTCCTGCGATATGGTAACACAAAAGTGTAACATGAGCTGCCCTTTCATGGCCACCCATTAAGAAAACACCTGTCCACTACCACTGAAACATCTCTTTCTGGTCACATGGGGTGCCTGAAAGATGTCTTCAAGCTTTCATCAATACCATCTTGTTTTGGCACAGTCCTCTGCACTCACTGAATGCGTGTGGAGAAAAGTGGAGAAAACGGCTGCTGGCAGCATGAAACGCTGGACCCATCCATGCTGTCAGAGCGAAGTGCTGCTGCCTATTTCATATGGAAATCAATGCAGCAGAATGCAGTCAATTGCCAAACAAGTGACTTTGGCTCTTAGTGCTACACACAAAACGGTGAAAAACCGAGGGGCTTTGGCAGTGGCATGGGAGCAAAAGGGAGGAATAAATAGAGTGTGGAATAAAGCCTTAGTCTGGTAAGAAGTGAGGAATACTCAACATGATTTTTGGTACGTGCCCTGACAAAAGCATGAGTGGAAAGAATCATAAAGTAAGTTGTCACAACGTAATGAGACAGCCACTGTGAACAACTTATTTTTTCTCTGTACAGTGAGTCACAGCTCACCAACAGTTTACTGGAGGCTAGACTCCATGCTCGGTGTCTGTAACCTAGACTGAGGGAGCTGCAGGAAAAGAAAGGATTTGCTCTCCATTTGTGCCAACTGTGTTCCTGTTTCTAACGCGGTGTAACTGTTGCACAAGGATTTAGGCTCCTACACCGGAAAGAAGCCGGCATGTGTGAGGTTTAACGTGCACGTGCAGGCCAAGTCTGTGCCTTGAAAAGTTTGAACACAACAGAGGAAATTTTTACAGTCATTTACAGAGTCAAACTAAGAACAGGTGAGATCAAATCAAGACAGCCTAGCTCTTCACCTGACCTCAATACTACCATACAATTACATTACAAGCATGTCTGTTTTCATTATCCTGGTTGTGAAATCAAAACTTAATCAATAACACCATTAAAGCTCTTACTGTGCACTTAATATGTTGTTAGGATTTCACCGGCTAATGATTAACGGGGATAATGACTCAATTTAGTGAAAAAAACATGTCTGGAGCAGCAAAAACGGCAGAGGATGGTTAACAAACCAGCACCGTGAAATTCCTTCACACTGTCACATTAGCCATTAATGCCAGTGTAAGCATTAGGCAGCAGTATCAAACACATGGGCTGGATAATGTTTTACAGAAGATCGCAGAAGAAACAACTATCAAACTAAAGGATTTCTGTGGAGATTAGAGGCCAGAACGTATCCTGCCCCCTCGTAATAAAACTGCTTAAATAAACTATTACTAATCTTCCTGAGTATCAAGTCAGATTCACACACTACTAGATAGCCTTCAGGAAGCATTTGATACTGAATACAACATGAAATAGTAATTCAGGGTAAAGCTAAATGACTCATTGCATTTTATTAAAACAGTCTACATCACTGTTAATCACAGCAAATCCGAGCTAATGATCAATGTGAGCATGCTGACAAAGTCTTTTGAGAGTCAACGGTTTCGGTCAAGTCATCGCCCACTTTGTTCACCTCAGTTGTCATCTGCAAATGTCAGCCACAAGAGCTGCGACTGCTGCAATTCAAAGGAAATGCCAAGAGAATATTTTAAATGCTACAGCCTCACTGTCAACACTGTTAGGTTGTCTCTCTGGCAGGGACAGTCCACCTTTTCTGTTTTTGTGAGTGTCTGTTAGCCTGTAGGGAAACAGGTTCAGGATATTGTATATTAAATAGAAATAAATAAAGAGCTGCAGCCATGGCCTTACACTTGGTACAGTTTTTACTTAACTCCAAACTGCCCCTTAGGTAGAAATGGTTCCATTCTGCAGCAGCTGCAGTGTAATTAGTTGCTTGATTCACACTAAGGAGCTTACATACTAAGGGTTGAGCAAAAAGAAAGCAGATTACAATTTGAGAAGTAGGATCTAGCTGGGCTACAAACACAAGAGACAAACACAAGACTGTCATGCATAAAGAGCTGCGTCTGGGCATTTTGTCCGTCTCTTGTCTTAACATTAGAAAGTGAAGTGCTTCCTCGAACTGGAATCAAGTTTGAGTTAGTGGTGTGCAGCGTAAAATCTGCTCCACTCAATGAGATTTGTACCAGTAGCTCTCAGTCCTCACAGATTGTCTGTAAGTCACATGCTCTTTTCTGTTACCTAGCAACAGTAAAGCTCAGGCAAAAGTTCCTCAAGAGAACTTCCAATCTGTCTGAGGAAGGCTTTGTGCTCAACCTTTAAAGTAATACTATGTGGTAAAACATTTAGCTCCAGAGCCAGAATAACATTACCTAGTGGCCACATCAAAATAACTGGAGGTGACTGTGTAGATCCATTATAACAGAGGATATTCCCATGTGTTTAGTTGATTTTACCTTTTTAATTCCCTTAGGAAATGTACTTTTACTCACTGGATTGCTACTGTGATGTTGTGTCCTATAAATGAATAAATAAAAAAGCAACAACTCAATTTTCCTGCACAGTAACGGGTTTGTTTTGATGAGCAACAAGTGCACTCAGTGAGTCACTAGTAGCACAACAACTCAGCAGGTCCTCAATGAATCACTCAACTGACAGCCTGTGTGCACGGGAGGAAAAAATCTAAGGTAAAATTAAAAAAAAAAATCCATCACACTACTTACCGTCAGAGTGGCACCATCTAACACAGTATAAGAAGACGAGGAAGAGTTGAAGTAGCAGTGCTCTCCACATTCTGGCTGGTCCGTCCAGCTCCGCTGTGCAGATGGAGGAGCTGTAGGGACTGGGGCTGGGATGCTGTTGCTTTCTTCTGTCTGTCTTTCTTGGCCCGCTAGTTGATGAAAAGGGGCGTGCACAAAGGCCAGGACAGCCGCTCCCCCAAGCCAGCCTCGGCCCTCCAGATAAATCCCTCTGGCCCTGGAATCTGCATAATGCCATGCAGGTCCGACTTGTCCCGAGTGCCAGTGATTTTTCACTCACAGCGGGCTATCAGCACTGTTTATTTGCTCTGCACTTGGGAATTAGGAAGGTGCACACGGGCGTTCGGGAGGAAATAATGATGGGAGTATTTAATAAGTTGAAAAACTTAATTTTAGCAGGGGCGTTTCAAGGGTTTGAGGACAATGGGGGCTTAGCCCAGACCTCTGCTGGGGGGTTTTCTTGTTTTTTTCCTTCCTCTTTTTTTTTTAAATGAATAAACTCTATTTTTATGCTCATTAATGCACCCTGGACCCAATTTTACTCTTATTTTTTCCAGATTGATTAGGAATTGTGGTGTTGAAATATTAGTAGTTGTTAGTATTGACTACAGAGTACAGAGTATCATTAAAATTTAGAGAAGTTTGAGGTAATTGTTTTTTCTTACAAAAATCAAGTTCATTTATTGTTGATGTGTTCAATGTCTTTTATATTGTATGCCCTGTTTTCTTTTTCTTTTTACGAACACTATTTTGATGCTTTTTAATGCACCCTGGCCCCCTTATTCACCCTTAAAAACTGTTATCTTTTTTTTTAATTTTCAAGATTAATTAAGAATTGTGGTGTTAAAATATTAGTAGTTGTTATTGGCTATATACAGAATACAGAATTTCATTAAAATGTAGAGAAGTTTGAGGTAATTGTTTGTTGTTTTTTGTTACTAATAAAAATCATGTTAAATTCATTTATTGTTGATGTGTTCAAAGTCTTTTGTATTGTGTGCCCTGTTTTCTTTTTTGTGTCTTTTTTGTGCTGTTTTTGGTTTGCTTTCTTGCACTTTGTTGTATTTTAGGTAGACTTGTGGAACATCTTGGCTAAGGGACTACAGATATAAAATAGCCTTTTGGCTAATTCTGGCATTTTTCTACCATGTATTTTTTATTAAACTAAACTAAAACTTAAGTATTTCCATTTTATGATACTTTAGTCATTAATATCTCAGAGGGAAATATTGTATGTTTTACTCCATTACATTTTTTTTGGTAACTTTAAAGACATCAGTGTTACAAAAAATAATCAACATAAATTTTGATGATTAAACTACCCACCAGTGTAAAGAATTTAAAGAGGCTCCACCTCTACCACCTGCAACATTAAAGCGATCACCGGTGCATCTTTCTTGCGTATGTAATTACACAAAATGTGCTGTCTGAATGATAAAGAGGACCCAAAACAATTTTTGATCCACAATATATCTCTTTAAATGACTTTAATGCATGAATGGAATGACAGATTATCAGATGCCAGGCTTTTATTTAGCATATTCTTATTTAAACCTATATATTTAGATCTGGAGCTATCAATGAAACATCTGGGGGCCTCTGACCCCATGGCCTGACAAGGAAACTGAATATTAGGGTGTTCTGAAGGCCTAAACAAGGCAGGTAAACCCAGTGTCTGTGGTTCCAGTTTCACCAAGGACCCTTGCCCAAGAGATTGCGGGTCATGGTAATTGTATTGTACATACTATACCAGTGTAAAAGGAGGTTAACATGCCTTAAGTTTCCATAAATTCATTATCGGATACCATGGGCACATTTAAGGTCTTGTAACATTAGGACTTCACAAGTGACTTCTTAATGAAATAATAAAGAAGCTAGCTGGACGGCACTGCCACATTTTAGACATTGAAAGTGACAATAAAAAAAACACTGCCACAGAAAATAAAGTAACGTTAGCTGACTACAAAATTGCTAAAAGTTAAACAGGATTCAAGCAACATAAGAAATGTACAGGTTCTTCCACCATGGTTTTAAAACTGGTCCTACCGTCACAGCGCTAACGGCTGATCAGAAGCCCAACGCCGCCATCTTGTGGCCAAGCTGCCGCTGGTACAGTTACCGTTAAATCACAGGAGATGGTTGCCGTTAGCAACCGGGTAACTGAAACTTACTAAAAGGTTAGCTGTCAAACGTAAAACAAAAGGAAGACACACTTTCTTTAGTTGTACTCATCATGGCAACTCCACAGAGAAATGCAGAAAACTTCATGAAGGTGGAGGGCAACACGACAGAGGTACGTATGTAGAAGTTATCAGTAATGACAACAATAAATCTGTGGGGTCAACCGTTGGTTACTCTCAAACTACCAAGTAGTTAGCTAACGTGCTAGTTAGCATCTCTTGAATAGACTTAAAACTTTATGTAAAGCCATCTAACAGTAAATTCAAGGAAACTCTAAAAGGTTATGTCAAGGGGTTTTGAGAGGCATTACTGAATTTCTGACTTTAATGCATACGTTAAGAATAAGGTGAAGTAGTTGGAATATTTTGAGAAGTGGGAATGGGTAACGTTAGCCCATAATTAGTCTGAATATGACTGAAAAGTTGAATCATAGCAATCATGTAAAAAGATATTAAATATTATAATTTTCTTTTAAAAGCTCACAAACTGATTTGCTGGGTTGAATAACACCAATGATGTTTAAAAAATGTGGAATAATTTAAGGTTTGTTGAGAAGCTTACACTACACTGAATTGTTGGCTTAATAAGAATGAGGTGTAGTAATAAGAATAGTTTAAAAAGGGTAATTAGTATGAATGTCACTGAAAACCTATAATATAGCCTACAAAATATGTTGAACTGAATCGCTGGTTTCAAAAGCTGAATAATACCCTACCCATAATGTATTAAAGATGTGGAACATGGTAAGGTTTGATTTGAGTTTCTAGCTAAGGATGTTTCTTTCTAAGTATGAATAAATGGAAAAGACATGAAAAATGCTTTTACAATGACTGAAAATGTCTTTAAGTCTTGTGTATGTGTCTATGTGTTTCAAACTGTACTTTATAGCTGATGTAAATTACGAAATTGTGTAAAATGTTACCATGGTGAGTGAGTCTTGGGTCAGAGTCAGGTTAATAGAGATTAAGCTTCTAAAGTTGCCTTGCTTAAGTTGTGGAACATTACAGGAAAATATTATGCTTCTTTCTCCACTACCTTTATTTGACAAGCTTTATTTTAAATACAAAACTTGTTATGAGCATACAAAGTTAAATATAGCAAATGTAGTTTAAAATAAAACTACTGAAGTTTGTAGAAAGCAGAAAAGTTATCAAATTTGCACCAGTTTCACCAACTCAAAGAATCTCTAACTTAATACCAATTCAATGATATATGAAATTGTACCAATAATGGAAAGAGAATTATGACAATGCGGTTTTATCAGTTTGACTATCCAAACTAAAGCCCGATCAGTTAATTGACTTGGCAAACATATTAGCCAACATTAGTTTATTGTAGATGTATTGGCAATGTATGTCTTCTTATAAGTAACAAGAAATGGCAAACAGCATCATCATTACATAGTTTGTCTACCAGAGAGCACTTAAAGTTTATTTTTCAAGTGTAAAATGTCTCCTTCAGTTCATGTCTTGATCCCAGTTCTCTCTACTGATATATCATCTTAAATATTGAAATCAGTATCAGCCTTAGGAACCTACTATCAGTCAGGCCCTTGTGCGAACAAAGACTACTTCCCCAAGCTGCCAAAAGTGCCTGTGTATAATGTTCTAACACAGCTTTTTCCTTTATTCCCAGCATGTGGATGGTATTTGGAAGTCACTGGAGAAATTTCTAAACGTTTCTGGGGATGATGCAACAGAGACAGGGGTGCTGCAGTCCAGGATAGATGAACAGTCAAATCTGATCTGCATGCTGAAACAGAGAGCAGATGAGGTGCTTCTTCGAAGTCAAGCCCTTCAGAAAATCAATACGGAGCTAGAGGACCGAGTAACAAACTGCCAGAAAGAACTGGACGACGAAAGAAAGAAAGCAGAGCTATTGGAGAAGAGATTTATGGATTTAGCTGCCAACAATCAAGCAATTATTGCTTTCATGGACGAGTACAAAAATCAGAATGCCCAGTTAAAGCTGGAAAACGAACAGCTGCAGTCAGAAAATGACACGCTCTTCTCCCAAAAATTACAAGATAAAGAAATATTTGTTCAAAAACTGATGCAAGACATCAAACAGCTGACAGAGAAATACACAAACAAGGAAAAGGAATATCGGTAAAAGGAAGAACTACTCTCAGTTATCAATAGTGCTGGATGGTCAATTTGTTGGTTGAGAAAATTAATCAACAGCAATTTTGATAGCGTTTTCTTTTTATGAGTAATTTACCCTGTAAAACTGTCAAACATCCTCTGGTTTCAGCTTTTATAATGTGAGTATTTTCGGTTTTAGCTTTTATTCTCAACTCAATATCTTTGCTGTATTTTACATTGATCTTTAAAGGGAGAAATTAGCTGGATGCCAGTCAAAATTCCTGGAACAAACAACCCAGCATCAAGCCAAGAACACATTGCTACTTAATCAATTGCATGAAGCTCAACAACAACAAAAAGATGCTGCAGAGATGTGCAACGGTAGGTAATCAACATGTTATGATTCTTTAAAGTTTTACAAAGTTCAAGCATGTATAAACTTGTGACTTTCTTTCCACAATCAGACCTTAAGTTGAAGCTACAAAGGGCTGAAGAAGAGCATGCTTTGAAGGAAACCAACATGCGAGAAAGCATTTCAAGCCTCATCCAGGAGAAGGACAAGTTATTGTGTCTGTCTATGGAAAGAGGGAAAGTAATACAGGTAATTGAAAAGGGTATTTGTTCTCTTCATTGAATTAAATGTTCTGCACAGATGAACCAATTTACTTCATGTACATACACATTGCTCTTAAATACAGGAGAAACAAGAGGAAATCCAGCAACTGGAGATGAAATGGAAAAAAGACAAAAAAGCCCGGGCTAAAGCAGAGGACAGGTAAACTGTGCATCAACAACACAATAGCACTTTAAGAAAAATTCTGAAGGATAACAAGTGTAGTCCCTGACTATATTTGTTGCTGACCTTACTTCAGGTTTGAAAAGGAAGCAGAAGCTGTCAATGCAGACGTCAAGGTGAAGTCTCTCCAGTCTGCTCTTGATGAATCCACAACAAAATATGGGAAGCTGAAAAAGGTTTGCTGAAAACTGCAATATTGAAAAGTGTGATTGACAGTGGCCCATATAGGCAAGAGAACGTGCTCAACATATCTGCCATTATTTTACAGGATTTTGAAGCCTTCAAAGAACACAGCACCAACCTCCTTATTCAAGAAAGGGAGTTAAATAAGAAGCTTCGACACATGATTGGCTAATTTTAAGCATTATGTAAGTGTTATGTTCTCTTACCAATGTTTTTATTAAAACAAAGCATGTCGCTAAGAATGTAAGAATTCACAGTCCCAGAAAAATTGAACTACAACACAACATACTTAGCATGACATGTTAGAAGTTCCTTAAATAGAAATTACACTGTACATATGTTAATCTCATAAAAACCTTAAGAATGCTCCTCTGCCAGTTTCTGAGCCTTTTGGATTACTTCTTCAATGGGGCCCACCATGTAGAAAGCTTGCTCAGGCAGGGCATCATATTCACCTGGAAGAGAGAAAAGAATAACCATAACCATCAAACATACATTACATTAAATCCCATTTATAAATGTTTTAACCTTTGCGCAGCACTCTACCTCCTAGAATGCTCTTGAATCCTTTGATTGTTTCCTTAAGAGGCAAAAGCTTTTCCATGAGACCAGTAAAGACTTCTGCTACCTGGACAAGCTGTGACAAGAAATGCTGGATCTTACAAACGCATACTACAGTCGGCTTATCTATTCCCAGGATAGCAATGATGTCCTGCTATGATCTGCAGTTCTAAAAAAGCACAAGCTTGCCTGGAGAATCTTCTGCACGTCACAAGCAACATCGTAGTGTTCAGACCCAATAATGTTGGGGTCCATGATGCAGGAGGTAGAATCCAGAGGGTCCACAGCAGGATAAATACCAAGCTCAGCAATAGCACAGGACACCACACTTGTTGCATCTGAGTAAAAGTTGTGGCAGGAGCAGGGTCAGTTAAGGCATCATAGGTATTTAAATAGCCTGTAACAAAATGAGAAAAGTGAGTATGAATAATCAAGTGCTGATGTGTGATTAGCATCCTGTGTCGTCTCACTTGGTCGTAGTAATTCTCTCCTGCACTGTCCCCACGTCAGCGGCCAAGCTGGGCTGGTAACCAACAGCAGAGGGGATACAACCCAACAGGGCAGACATCTAAAGGACAATGACACAAATATTCAGACGCAAGATGTGTTTACATGACAAGTGTTATTTTGTTGATGACATCTACAAATAATTATTAATGAAAGTCTGTTTGGGATTGTGTACCTCTGATCCAGCCTGGGTGACCCATGGGATGTTGAAAGAAAAGTACATCCTGTGCCTCCTGATCATGGAAGTATTCAGCAATAAGAAGACCGATGAGAGCAACTCTGGCAACCTATAGGCACATTAATTTGACTGTACACCAGCACCACCTGAGAAGATGAAGACTGGAGTCACCAGGGGAGTTTAGCATAAGTTCACACTGAGTAGGTCAATGTGAATTCATCAAAACAACGTTACATGCTGTGGTGAAGTACCGGAGTCAAAAACAATAAATTGTCTTATTAAATAAATGCAACTCACACCTTTGAGGTGATGTCCTTCATGTGATGACACCAGACTCGATCATTTCATGGTACAAGTAATTTCCCTCACAGGTTCGCTCTACCGCTCCAGCAAATACAGAATAACCACCTTGAGCCTTGGCCACATTGATGATCAGCTCCATAACCAACACAGTCCTGCCAACACCAACATCGCCAAACAAACCAGAAGGTATTCGGCACGCACAACAATCAATCATCATGATTATGTATGAAAATGTGAGTGCAGACAAAAATAATCGAGAGCATGAAGTACCACACCTGCTACAGTTTCTCTTCATCTTATACAATCAGGTGCGGTCTACTTTTTTCACCATTTTAGTTCATTTTTAGTAACTCATTTTACTTATCTTACTCCTATTGTTACTCTATTAGGTACTAGTTTTACTTTTGTTCCTTGAAAACACTTCTTATCTTGTATAATTTGTATATTTTGCCAGATATTTAATACATTATTGTATCTAAACTGAGCCCAGTGAGTAATCCTGACCCCAGGAACCCACCCACCTCCAGCAGCAGCCTGGTTTAATGGCCAGCACGTTGAGAATAGGAGGCAGGCCTTGATCAAACTGGACATCCACTACAGCACTAATCACAGCCACTAACCAGTTGCTGGCCAGTGCTGCCTGAGCAGCTGGGGCAGCGTAAGGACAATGACAGAAAAAGGACCAATAATGGCAACATGTTAAAAGTGTCTTAACATATGACAGCAGCAACTCCAACTGAAAAAATCAAAACATCTCACTGAGACCAAACACTAGTATGAACATGATACATCAAATCAACAACACAAATAAAAAAATCATAAAATATATCTACACATTTTGGTGCTTCAGGATAATACTACTACTGCCCATGTGTTATTGCCACTGAAACTTGCAGGACAGGCTGAAAACTTAAAGCAGGCAGTAACTTGTACTGAATTCCCTGGATGGTCATTGCTTGGAAACAATGCACCAGGTCAGGAGCTACAATGTCTACTTTCAGTAGCAATATGACCAAATAACTACTTCTGTCTTATAGCTGCTTCCACTGAATATAAATCCCTGTTGATTACAAATGAATAGAGACACTTTGTGGTCAATTTGAGGCCTGACCCACTGAGCATGCGTTAAAAGTCAAGCCAAAGGACACACAACGCTGACAGTCGGTCCATGTTTGAAAGGTGTATTCAGTATTCCGCATGTCTCCCACTGAAGGTCGATCACAGGCTTAGAAGTCTGCAGCGCCGTCCTGCAGCACGCAACTAAGTTTAAATGACTGAAGATGGATGTACACAGCTATATCCCGAGCAATCTTGAACTGCTAAACCCATGCAAAGTGTGAACATGCGTGGTCCGCCGTGTTGTTGTCCTCTTGTTCACCGAAAGAGGGCAGCACACAGCCGTCTAGTAGGATTTCCTCCGCTGCCCTAATGCTGCATTTTGATACTGCAGCAGTGTTTATTTCATGAAAGATTTACATGACCATGAATGTGGTAAGTAAAACCCCCAGTCACTCAAAATAAAATAATAAAATAAATAAAATAAAATAATAAAGTAAGTAATGAACGTAAAATACAGTGGATTTCATAACCTGTATATTCAGCACCTCTGTTACAGAGGGCCAGAGTGTGCAGTTGCTGTGTTCCTTTAACCCCTCTCTCATGCAATATCGTCACAAAACTGCTCACAATGCATAATTAACATAGTTTAATGATCAGACTTCATGTGAAGGTTGTAATGATGGAAAATAGCACATTGCTAAAACATTCAAGAAACTAAAAAGTAGGTTATCTTTAAAGCATATCATTAGAGCTTGGTAACCGTGTCATTCAGCACAAGGTCATGGATATTTCATTTCCATTTTTCTTTAAGATTTGGCCGGCCAGTTTTTTTTCAATGTTTTTATTGGTATTTTTTATTTACATACACATTAGAACAATAGACACAGACTGACTCATTCATACCCACACAATCACATTCACTTTGCATCAGTTTGAATTAAAATATACAATTGTAGAGCTGTACCAATAAGTACACATCCATGTCGAAGCAAATAAATACAGCTTTCACATTCTTGGTTCTTGTTTCCATTCAGGTAAAGTTTAAGTTTCCTGCTTCTCCATAATGTTCATATATGGTTCCCAGAGATGAAAATGTCCTTTTGCTTGCCTTTAGCAATGTATGTTAGCCTTTCCAAGCCAATACAGTTTGCTAGTTCTCAAACCCACATTTGTAATGAAGGTGTATCCATACTTCTCCAACACAGAGCTACAACCCTCCGGGATACACTGACCTTTTAGTTCACTACCCTGACCCACAATGTTTTATGTTAAGAAGACACAGTAATATTAAAGATATCCTAACTATTTACCAGTTACTACTTAGCAAACCTATTGACAGACTCTGAGTAATATAATTAAAATGACACCGCTTATTTGCTGTCATTTTGATGCAATCACAACATTCATTGAACAAACAAAGAACTTTATTCTGTCTAACAATCACCATTTTGTTTTAAAGAATTATGTCATGTTGCTTTAAACTAAACTACTTTAATCCATGTTTACCATTCACAGTTTTCTTTACATATACCTGAACCCAACAATGCAATGTAATGGCTGCTGTCAAAATACACTTTATCTCCTTTTTAATTCAGTTCAGTTAATGTAAAAGTATATCGTTTTTAATCAGCTGGTCCATATGCAAATTATTTTACCATTTCATTGTGAATGTGAAATATTGTAATAGTGAACAGTAATTGTCTCTTCAGAACAGGGATGTTTTATCACAGGTTTGAGGTGTTCAGTTTGCACACATCTCTAAGCTTCTATAATGACCCGTATCATAATGGGGAACATAAACAAAAGCATTCACTCAGTGATGGATGCACATTTAAGACAACCACACTTTACAGTAATTTCCGCAACTTACAAGTGTTGCTGCAGCGTATGGGAACACCATGAATGGATGTCATTCATCACAGAGCACAGTGACAGTGTGGATTTTGCCAAGCCATCATTCAGTGTAACATTCCTTTGTGTCAGAGAGTCTCTCTCACTCTAATTACTTCTTGCCTGGAGCTTTGCAATACAAAGCTTCTTCACCTCAACCACAGCAGGCAGCCATGAATCCTCAGCCAGTCCGCACAGGACCAGCGGCATCACTACACCAGGAGGAGTACGCTAAAAGGTCACCTCCACTAGTGAATGGTCATTTTTAGGGTGGGGAAGGTGAAGTACCACCTACGGCTTCCAGTTATTAAGAAATATTGCATGTCACTCACCCACTGGTTCCAGCCCCCTTTTCACGAGAGCATAATGAAATGAAACAAATCACAATGGCCCACAAAAGGTAAATAGTGCACCGAATATGGCCGAGGTTTCATTTGAAAATACTGTGATAATCCATTGTTTCTTAATTAAAACAACGGGGTTTAATTTTCTAGCACCATTGCTTAGTGATTTTATAATCCCCGTAGAAAATCCCTGACCCTTAATCCTTTTGTCCTCAGGCACGGTCATTTAAAGTCTGGGTGGAGACCAGAGGTGACCAGGCCTTTGCCATTAGGCCTCTAAACTTTAAAACGCCCCTATATCTGTGGAATTTATGCTGGAATCAGTGCCACTTTTTATATCACCTCTTAAAAATGGCTGTCATTCCACTTTTATTGTTGCAATTTTCTGACTTAAATACCAGATGTAAAATGAGTGAGATTTAAAAAAAAAAACTGTTGATTCTATTATCAGACTGTATTTATAGCTATCCCACTCATCTCTGCTCGCTAAAGATGGAACAAGCTGCTTAAAACAATATTATCCAAGGCTCACCTCACAAAACTCAGTCTCATACATCATCACATGCATTTCATCCTCTCACAGTAAATACTGTGAGATAATAAGCAGAATTAAGCAGCTAATCTATCTATTATCTGGCAGTTAAAATGTTCTGTAACTCATCAATAAAAACAAGCAAAACACACAATATGATAAGTCTATGATGTTTAAGAATGAGTTTCCACTAATAAACTTTTATATCTACAATCCTCTTTACTTGATACACAACAACTGTTGAAAACACACCCTGGTTCCCCTGCCCTGAGGGCAGAGCGGGAGTCTTGGCATGGCTCAGTGGGATCTGGTCTGTGGGTGCCTCCTTATAAAGGAGGAGTTCCTGTTTCGAGGTCTCTCACTCTCTGCTCCACAGAATGACTGACACTGCTGCTGCTGCTGTTTAATCAATGAGCTAACTGGAGCTCATTGTGCAATCCGGTCCTCTGCTGGTCCTGCTACCTTTTTCAAATCTGCATTTTGGGCTGCTTTTGAAATATTAGAAATTGCTGCATATCTAAAGGAGGTTGGACTGTAAGTTGATGTGAAGACAATTGCTCAGTTGTTTTAAGGATATACTCCACTTTAACAACAAATGTTTTGAAACTTAGCAGATAAAATATTTGGATGCAAAAACTTTTGCACCCTGATTTGATGTAGAAACTACTTTTGTGGACAGTAAAATTGATTTTGATTTTTGTTGTTGCTTTTTTTCTCCACAGCTGGGACAAGGATGTTCCCCTCCTCTACACTGGTGCTGCTGGTCACAGCACTGACCAGCATCTGGGCCCAAGACTTATATCAAGAGAGGAAAAGTAACAAGAAATTTAGGGTCAAACTTCAGGCTGCAAATATTCATGACGGACAAGGTAGGATTAGCAATGACTGAAAAATAAATGAATGAAAATACTTTTATTCTTATTCTAAAAACAGTATTTGGTGCAGTAAATTCAGCATCATGTTGCCTCGCTATTGTATTCATGAACTGCGCATGTCTCACTAGTCTGCAGCATTGTGTGAAGATTTACAGATTGGTAAAAGAAAAAAGCATCAACTTAAATCAAAATGAAATCAGTCAGTAAACGGAACACTTTAAAAGCATGTTATATTGTCAATAGCAAGTTCTT